GTATATGATTGGTTGAACTGGCTCATCAGTGGTGGTTGGTTGTTTTCCCAAAAGACTTTGAAAGTGTTCTTTCCACATGTGTAACCTCTCGCTTTGACTTGAGGCTTTCAGCTTTGACTTTGTTGTGTTTTTTCTGCCACTAACTTCATTTACTGTTTCCCAGGCTGCAGCTGATCTTTTGCTTTCCATGCACTTTTCTATGTTCTCAATTTGTTCCTGGATATATTTCTGTTGCTCTATCTGGTATGTGCTTGCTAGATCTTTTTGTGCCTTCAAAAAGTTTCGGGTATTTGTCCGCGTAGGTCTGGTTCTTCTTCGTTCAGATGCTATCTTAAGAGCTTCACGCTTTTCCAATACACTACTTGATTCCCAGGGAACATATTGGCTCCTCTTTGGTTTTACAGGTATGTGCTTTTTGGATGCTTCTTTATGCGCAGTGATGAAATTGTCATACACTTCACTTGGACTTGCATCAGATGTTTCATTTTGTAAGGCATCAAATTTATTTCTTACAGTTACTGTGTATTTGTGCCTTACATCAGGCTCCGCCAGAGAGGACCAGTCATATCGTGGGGCTTTCATTGTCTTTTTGTTTTTGCGTAGGCTCAGACGAATCTTGGCTGATACAATTCTATGATCAGAAGATACGTTTTCAAAAGTGTTGTATGATTCACAATTTACCACACTGTTGATCCATTTCTTGTTTATTAGGATGTAGTCCAGTTGTGCTCTAAAGCCGTTTGGATACGTAAATGTCCATAACTTTCCTTTTCGTTTTTGGAATTTTGTGTTTAGGCATACAAGTCTATTTTCAGAAATAAAGTCCATGAAATGTTCTCCATTCCTGTTTGTGTTTTCGTGAAAGCCGTACTTACAGTTTTCTTCCCTCCCTATATGTGCATTCATGTCACCTCCTATGACTAGAACATTGTGCTTTGGTACTTCCCGAACAAGTGATGACAGTTCATCATAGAAAGTGATGACATCAGCCTCTTCATGTACATTGGTTGGGCTGTAGCATGAAATCACTGTGGTCTTTGGATTTCCATCAAATGTTGCAATCATCATTCGTGCCTGTATTTTTTCTACACAAGTTAAAGCATTTATTGCACGTGGGCTCAATAACATCCCTACGCCTCCTATGGGGGTATTTGCTGTGTTTTGCCATGCTGATGCTGATATAAATGTCCAGCCATTTCCTACCTCGTGATACTTAAGTTCTGCCTCTGTATGCAGGAAGCGATGTTCTTGGACACATACAATGTCTACGTTATATTCCTCAGCAGAAGCAATGAGTTCAGGTAGTTGATGGATAGGTTTTAGGGTACGGACATTAAAAGTTGAGATCGTCACGTTTTTCTTGCATTTCAGAAGTTGAGATTTCTTAGATGACATATTTCCTGAGCTTACGCCCTGAGCAATACGGTTTGCTTGAGAGTTTTGGGTTAGGGTCATGGTTGTCTTTCGGTAGCTAAAATTACTCATCAATGGACGCCAAACCTATAGATGAGATGCAGTAGTTCGCTGTAGGAACTGGTTGATCCTGGCCGTTGACCTGTGGAGGTTCTTCCGCCCAGCATCCGATGACTTGCACCGTTGATTTACACTGTAAACATCCGCTGCAGTTCACCATCCACCACGCTGCAAACACATGGTTTCACCGTAATCCCGGCAGGGGGGTGTAGGTCTTGAGGTCACCATTAACCAAGGAAAACGTTGGTAAAGTAAAATAGAAAGAGTGTCCAGCAGTAGAGCCTCTGTCCTCGTACTTGCCCGGGGTGGGAGGGGGGCTTATACTTGGTGCAATGGCAGATTGCAAAATAACATCTAGCTAATCGATAAACAACACAAAATTAGCAAAGAAAATTACTTTAAACCCTATCTATTCGCTTGGTACAGGTTTTGGCCTTTGGGAGCCTTTCTATCTGAGGATGTTGATGGATTTCATCTCAGACATGAGAGCTCTCCCAAAATGGCCTCCACCCTTCGTGACCCTTACCACCTTCACCACGGTATACTGTAGGATTCAATTAGCCCAATTTCTCTCTCTCTCTCACACACACACATGCATGTGCACATGCACACAACTTACACACACACACACACACACATATAATTATATATATACAGACACGTGCACATACACTTACCTACACACACAAATGCAATCACACATTGTACACATATGCACACACACACGCATGTGCACATACACACAACTTACACACACACACAACTTACACACACACACAACTTACACACACACACAACTTACACACACACACAACTTACACACACACACACAGATGTATATATATAATATACATATATATGTATACATACATATATACACAGACACGTGCACATATACACACCTACACACACAAATGCAATCACACATTGTACACACACACATACACACACAGATACATACACACAAAAATATAGAGATACAGGAAGACACAAAGTTAATACACAATGACACTGACATTGTGCATAGACAGTGGGGTCTGGTTCAGTGGCATCATTGGATTGTTCGTGCATAATAAGGTCTCGATCCTCAGGGGTGCTGCTTCATGTAATCCGATGTAGATTACCTGTTCTTATACTTTTCTCCTCATGTCCACAAGAACGGTGTTGGGACCGAAGAATTCGGTGGCGATTCCTGGCTTCCCCAAACACGACAAGCTGGTGAGTTACAACCTGCTGTATTTTACCCTTTTCTAATGCCCACCAAAACTGACATCCTTATGGCCACTACTTATTATTTGCAAGCGATGTCCTTTTGAAAATCTGAGAAAGCCATTAACCACAATGATCTTTATTTTCCCCTCAGGCTGCTCTGGGGGATACCGGATGCGTAACGGTGTCTGCTACAAGGCCTTCAACACGCGAAAGAACTTTCACGATGCGTCTTTGACATGTGTGGCTGATGGAGGGACCCTCGCTATGCCGAAGGATGCTGGTACCAATGGCTTCCTCCTCTTCCTGAAAAACGCTGTGCACAGGGCTGGCTGGTTCTGGTTCGGCTTGGTGGATCAGCACCGGGAGGGAGGCTGGGAATGGATAGACGGGACACCCCTAGGCTTCAGGGCCTGGGGCCCAGGAGAACCCAACAACGCTGGCAACGAGGACTGCGCCGAGTACTTCCCTACAGCATGGAACGATGCGCCGTGTTCTAGGACTGACAGAAAATTCATCTGCCAGAAAATCCCCGCAGGTGTGCTATATTTAGGTTAATTGGTCCTTTTCAGCCTTCACAGTCATAAGATTCAAAGATATCGTAAAAACTTCTTATCCCTTTTTATACCAAAATGGCCTAAGCCTTAAACAGATGGTATTAAGAACAAGTTAGTGCAGTTCAACTGATTTCCCTGTTTGTTCTGAAATAGGTTGTCCAGGTGGTTACATTTACCATCAACCCAGTCGCCAGTGCTACAAGGCCTTCAACGAGAAGACAACATACAGCGGTGCTGTCGCCAAGTGTTCTGCAGACGGCGGAACCCTTGCCATGCCCCGCGGCCCCATCATCAACAAGTTCCTCATCTACCTGAAGAATGCCGTCGACAAAACCGGTTGGTTCCGTTTCGGACTGACTGATCACCACCAGGAGGGAGGCTGGAAGTGGGCCAATAACATTCCTCTGGGAGGCTTTAGGCCATGGGCTCCAGGAGAACCCAACAACTTAGGGAACGAGGACTGTGCCGAGTACTTTCCCGGAAGCCACGCCGCCAAAAAGAACACATGGAACGATGGACCATGTACCTTCCGTAACAGGAAGTTCATCTGTCAAGTCTCGCCACGTAAGTATTGATCATCAGATGCATGCAATACTTTTGTCCAGTTTGCCATCTTGAAGGATCGTTGGAAGTGTTGTGGAATGTGATATTTGGTATGTGGGTAGATCTTGGGGAAGATGGATGTCCTTTGAGCCCCCTATCAACTGTCCTTCTGTACTGTAGCAGAGCTTCCAGTTTTCTTTAATGCTGGACATTCTTAGCCTGGGTTCCAAACCCATAGCACACTGGACACAAAAACTCACTGAGATATTTTGTGTCCAGTGTGCTATGGGTTTGGAACCCAGGCTAAGACATTCTGGGCTTTTGATTTTTGATGACAATTAGCATTTCATGTTACAAACTTTTATTATTTGTAGGAAGACCCTCGGTGCTACGTCGAGTCTGTGAACACCAAACACTGACCACCAGTTGTCCTGCTGGACGACAGATCAACATCGTGTCTGCCCTGTACGGCCGGACCTCCCGAGCGGTTTGCCCCAGCAGCCAAATCTACACCACCAACTGCCGAAGCCCCAACAGCCTGGTCTGGGTCAGGGGCAAATGCCAGGGAAGGTCCAGCTGCTCTGTGAGGGCCTCCAACAGCGTGTTCGGGGATCCTTGTCGTGGCACCGTCAAGTACCTGGAAGTGAGATTTACTTGCATCGGTAAGTGCATCTGTATGACAGAAAGCAAAGAAGGCCAATTCTGAGATAGCAGACGTCATGTATTTACCCACACTGCTTTCTAGTAGTAGTCGGTCAGTAGCCAGAAACAGAAACACACACACACACACACACACACACAAACAAGCATCTGTGTCAAATATAGACCATCATATACGCAGTTACAATGTAATGTTTGTATCTATCCTGGCACAACCTAGCTGTAGTTTGTACACACTTTGAACTCTTTGAACTGATATTCTATAAATGTAATGTTCTAGCATGTTCTGGAAAGAGGGAGATGCCTGATCCACAAGAGCCTGAGATAGGAGAGGCTGAACCACAGGAGCCCGAAGCACAGGAGCCCGAGCCCGAACAACAGGAGCCTGAGATAGGAGAGGCTGAACCACAGGAGCCCGAAGCACAGGAGCCCGAGCCCGAACAACAGGAGTCTGAGATAGGATCCGGAGAGCCTGACCCACAGGAGCCAGAGCCAGAAGAGCCTGACCCACAGGAGCCAGAGCCAGAAGAGCCTGACCCACAGGAGCCAGAGGTAGGAGAGGCAAACGAAGTCCGAGAGGAGGACATGTTGGAGAAGGCTCTGGAGATGCTGGAGAATGAAGTCCGCAATGAACAAGACAACTTGGAGGTAAGATTAATCATAGGAACTTAAGGAATCTGTTATACTGTGAAGTTCACAGAAGCAGAGCTCCTCTCTTTAGTATACATTTATGTTTAAATTCCACAAGGAGGAAGCATCAGAAAACCAAGGGCATTATTGAAAAACAAGTAATATGTAACAATTAGGTGTAACAATGAAATGTACACACACACACACACAGCCAGAGTCACACAGATATATTGTTCATGTGCACAGTAAGACACACATGCTGTCATATAAAAATAAAGTCACAAAGACAAACATACAGTCACAATGACTCACATGCACAGTCACACACAGCACAATACACAAACACACACAGTCACACAGACATACAGTCACAAAGACACACATACAGTCACAATGACTCACATGCACACACACTGAATCAGACACATACACACAAATCCATCAATTGTAAATGTAGGAAGATCTGTCACAATGTTGAGAAGGTGTTGACAACAAATTTAGACCCTCTGTTTTCTTGTCCCTTGCAGTACGGCCTGGAAGAGTGACACCGACATGACCTTCTGCTGTTCCAGCTCAACAGACGTGAACTGTGCAGCAGCAGCTGTGATGATGTCATCTCCAAGCAGATATTGGGAGGAACAGTCATAACTTTTCCTGACTGGCCCGGGAAAGCCAGGAGACGTTACAATCTTCCTCCCAACATCTGCTTGAGTTTTAAGATTTAATTTTTTTCATAGATACTAGTAATTTTGAGCTACAACCAAATATCTACCCTAGCACAATCTATAACATCTACTCTCATAATACTGCCACTAACCATAACTGTGCCACCAAATTAAAAAAAAATGAATTTGAAGTTAGAGATCTCTTGCAGCATTAGTAATTTCTGAGCTAATACATTGTACACCTCAAATATCTAAGGTGTTAAAGAAAAAGGCCTCAGTAACCATGCATTGGAAGTTGATGAAGACAAGAATTGTGGTCCCTAAATGTCAAGACAGGCTGAGAGCCATGTAGAAGAACATGTCACCACTGGCCACAAATGAAATAGAAATTCTTAACAGTGCACATCCGTTCCTTGGTGATGTTTTGTATCCTTTTACAGATTTGTATTTCAGGCACTCTCTACCAGTCAAGAAAAGAAAAATAACCTCTGCAAGACAAGTCTCCTCTTGGGCCTTTATGTGCAGATCACACTCATTCTTAGAACATTTTGAAAGTGTCTCAAATTGCAAACTTCTGTAATTAGCAGGACGAGAGTTAATCAGTAAACTAGAGAAGTAACATTTGCAAGCAAATGCATATAATGTTTACCTTCGGACATGGTCTGCTCTGTTAATACTCAAACACACTCACAGACACGTACTACTACTAGTATATGGTGACAGGAGCAGAGCAGACCATGAAATTGCAACATTATGTAACCCAACACCAGTCACCATGGTGACAGACATCAACAAATCATGCCATCGGTCAGGCCATAGGTTACTGTTTGGAGAAGAAGAGAAAGAAATGGAGCAAAAACAATATGTTTTCCTTCGGTAAACATTAAAAAAAACACACAGCAGAAGTGTCAAAAGGATTTCCATTATCATATTGGACAGTAACTGGGAAAAATCAATGGCTTGTTCCTTTGTTGAATTCATCATATGAGAAATTGCCATACACATGGTGGTATTATGAGAGTATAGTTATAATGTTTGTAGTGTTTCTGCTCATATATACAAAAACATATACCTTGCACTTCTTATGAAAGCCCATTATATCTAGTACTTTATTTTCAGTATATGGACAAATGTAACAACTGTTAGTGTTTTTGTAGAAGCCGAATACTTACTAGTTGTATTCAGTGCTAACTTAATATTAGGTAACATCATAATTACTAATTTCCTTGAGCCTGTTGTAGAAGCAAATGTTACTTGTAGTTTTTCAGTACTTTAAGTTCAAGCACTTACTGTGACTTAAACTCTGTAACACAAAGTCCTTGTGGTGGATGCCAAAAACTGAATCAGTGTCCTTTTCCTTATTAATTATCTATAGAATTTCAGCATCCTTACAAGTAGAAAATATAATTCAGCTACATTTAACCTGATTGTAGTTCTTATGTAGAAATACATTACAAAGAGCTTACATGACATAGTCATTATGATGTGATTAACATGGGATCATCATCAACATGTGATAGCAATTAGCACGTCGGCAGAACGTACTGCACCTGCGCAAAACCCGTAATGTATTGTACATTCATGTAGCACTTCGGCAGAACGTCTCATATAAGTAGCATTCCGACATTATGTCGGAAAAGTTATCGTCTGCAACAGGCAATATTCTGATGCAACGTTGACCAAAAATCCAAGGAAAAGCGCGAAAATCCAGGGTTCTGCGCAGGCGCAGTACGTTCTGCCGACGTGCTTGATAGCATAAAGTAGCTTGCATGTCATCTAAAATGCACTTCATGTAACCGAGATTTGGTTAGAATTTTTGCAGAGCCCTGCATAGTGGGCAGACTATAGTCTGAGGGTTTTCATGCTTTTTTTCCGTGGAGTGTAGCATTAGCTATTTTTATGTACCCTTTAGTTCAGCAGCTTTAATTCACAGTTCAGCGTTGATGCAAAATTATCCATGAAGCATAATTGGTCACTTTAATTCCTTGTAGCGTTAATGTTATCCTGAATTCGTCGTCAAGCGTTATTGAAAAATTGTATGGCGTAGTTGATCGCCAGATCGCCCAAAAATTGTACTTACAGTATCTGCAGAATAGTTTTGTCAGACACCCCATATGAATGCAAAAGAAATCAGGTATTTCCAAAGCCTTTTCACAAGAACAATTAGATCAACCATTGAGTGTTGCTTGAGGCCTCTTGAAGACCATTAAGTATTTTCAACCCTCCAAAATTCACTGTTAATGCCCCCATGCAGACCCTCATTATAAGGCATAGTTTTTACTTTTCTTAGGCCACACCAATTTAATTTGTTGTTTCTCGGATTTTCAGAAAAAATATGGAGCGACAGGGCGAAATAAGAATTAAAAAAACAGGCCAAGGCACACCATGATAGCCGGAAATGTTATGATATAAATCATGAAGTCAACATACCAGGCTGGTTTATAAATAAAACAATAGATTTTGAACTTTTAATGAAACAAAATTGCATTGTTACATTGCAAAACTTTACGAACTAGGGAGAAACGGACTGTCTTCAACTGTGGGGGCCAAAATATTTCGTTCATTAAGCCTTTTTTCAAGTAATTTAGCACCGAAAATGTTTTTCTTTTTTGCAAATCAGAAAAAAATGGACAGGGCGATCCGAGAAGCAACAAATTAGATTGGTGTGGCCTTATGGTATAAAAGTACGTGTAACCAACTATGGTAGCCAAGCTGCATTAGGAAAGGGACATTTAAGGTTTAACTCTATATTCAAGATTCTTGAAGAACAGTGAAAGCATGAAAGATCCATACAGCTGTGTTGAGAAGTTGAATCATGAAAAGCATTGAAGGCAAACAAAAAGACAAGATACTATAACAACTGATCACTTTTGAAACTAAATTTCCCATGGATATGCCACATTTGTACAAGGGAAACTTTAGTTCTTCCAAAATGCCTATCGACATTATCATGAATTACATTCAAATATCCTATTACTCTCATCTGCCGAATAAACATACCCCCCGGAATAAACGTACCCCCCGGACAAATCTTCAAAATCAAATAAACATACCCCCAGAATAAACGTACCCCCTGGAAAATTACCAAAATTGACGGGTAACCTGTGTCTCTTGTACTAAAATGCACCCTTACTGATATATGCACAAATCTTTAACTGTTATTTGCAATTAGGAATTTAAAAAGACAAAAAAAAGAGCATTTAATATTTTGTATTTTGATAAGCACCACCCATGACAATAGAACATTCAGACGAATTTATGCACGCGGTGATTGCAAAAACCGGCCCGAAAATGACAAGTTTCTCGCTACAATATGCGTTTATAAACGTCTTCACGTCGATGATTTGTCAATTTTTTTCACACGAAGTTGAAAAAAATTACTGGTTTTCAAAAAATTAATAAACGTACTGTGCAAAATAAGAACGTACTGGGTGGATGTTTGGGCCTAAAAAAATAAACGTACCCGTATGTTTATTTGGCAGATGAGAGAGTATGGAAGAATCCAACCTTTCCATCCTGAATAGAAACAAAAATTTCACCAAAAAAAAAACGATGTAATGTACCAATTCATGAGATCAACAAATACAGTGTAAATGTAATTGCCATTTAGGCTTACTAATATTTCCCGGGAAAAGTTATCACTGTTTATGAATATATCTATATTATCTACAACACCAGGTACGACCAAGATAGTAGCATAAACTGATAGCAAATGAACGTTAACGAACAACATGAAGTAAAATTGAGTGTTTCTTGTTGGAATGTAGATATATGACATGACAGGTTAGCTGATTAATGTAAGCCCATTGACACCATCTCTGTGTAACATCCAGGATTACTAATAAAGCCGCAGCTTTCACTAAAAATCTACTCGTCCTCAGAAGTCTTCTTGGCTCCTACCGACAGATTATAAAGGAAATACTCTAGATTATGGGATTGTGAACTTTTAATATTTAGGCTGTACTATTTAAGTAAACTTTGCACATGTGATGATATGGAACAATCCTGAGGGTAAAAGGTTCTAAAAAGCCCCTTAGGCCATAGCAATTTAATTTCTTGGTTAACGGATTTCTCTAGAAAAATAATGGAGCGGGCGGGCGAAAAAAAAATAAAAACAGGCCTAGGCATCCTATTATGGCCCAAAATAGTACGATAGGAGCCATGAATTCAACACACCAGGCTGACGAAACAACAGACGATAAACCGGACAGTGAGTGAGTGAATTTTGAACTTTTAATGATACCATTGCATTGAAAGATGGAATAACTGTACAGTTAAATGTTTTCAACTATTCAGGGCAAAATATGAGCATTTTGCAGTTGATTCTGAATTTTTATTTTTATTTGCAAATCAGAAAAAAATGAAGCGGGCGAATCCATTAACCAAGAAATTAAATTGGTGTGGCCTTAGTCAGGTCTCCAACAATTTGAAAGGATCATTTCTGTGTAATTACACTGACCTAACCCCCCTCCCCCAGAGGCTGTTTCACCATGTACTTTGGACTTGTTTAAAGAAAGACGTCAATCCACAAACACCAGTGGATGGAAAAAAATCTGAGGGAAAACATCAAAAGTTTCACGTATAGGACTAAAAAAATCATAGCATGCTGACCATTAGGAAAATGTAGTCTGACTAGAAGCGGTTTAGAAGTATCATACTTACAAAACTTCCAACTGGAAAAGGCCACACCTTGTCCCCTGAAGAACAGTCATATGTAGGCAACAATCCTCCGTGAAATACCTTAACAGGAGGTAGTCTGGCTTATAGCTGGCTTCTAAAAATAAACTTGTCACTGTTGTCCGCAACACAACATGAAACTTAGCAACCTAGCTTTTGGCCAGTCAACATTAACCTGAGAATGAATTTATTTTTGAACTCCAAGTCTTCTCTCAAATATAGGCACAACTCCTTTTCTTCTTTTATCACTGCTGTGTTTTCTCTGATGTGCAGTTAGGCCATGTTGATTTGATTATATGGATGACATCCTCCGGGAGCCCCAAAACTGATGCGCGCGTGCGAATAAAAAAAAAGTTTTGCAAAAAAAAAGTTATTTTCATTATGAAATCTACGTGGTCATGAGGGTTGAGCAAATGGCACAGAATATGGTTTGGCGAATAATCTAGTCTTCAAGTTCATTTCTTTACAATTTCGTCTTTTTTCGTTTGATTTTGGCATTCTACGACATTGGTATAGTTTTTATTAATTTTTTTTGTAACTTATGGTATATTTTTGCTCATTTTGCAACTGTTTTGTACTATTTACAGTATGGTTGAAAACTTTTTTTTTCTTGGAAACAGCCCAAAATTCATGCGCGCGCGGATGTCATCCATATAATCAAATCAACATGGCCTTAGCTAAAAAGGACTGCTCAAACCGATTGCACTCAATGATGCTGTACCCTTTAATGCTCCAATGAAAGTTAACTTTATTTTGTCTTTGAGAGGTGGACAGTAACTTTTGTGGACAGCAAGACTCAAGGCTGCTAAGGCTCACATCCATAGAACTGAGAGTGAGTGAGAATGAGAGAGAGATGGAGGGAGGGAGAGAGTGGGCAAACCAACAACAGAAATGGAATGTCAGTTAAAAGTGCCACTGTGTGACAGGGCGAAAAAACAAAAATAAAAACAGGTCTAGGCATCCTATTATAGCCTCAAATGCAAGGATAGGAGCCATGACGTCAACACAAAAGGCTGGGTCAATATCTAAACAATGAATTTTGAACTTTTAATCAAACCACTGCATTGGTCTTCTGGTTTGGGTTGTTGACTTAGAACTCGAAAGTTCTAGGTTCAAATCCCTACCAGTTGTGCCCTTTATGTCAATTTCCTATCACGGCTTTAAACTACTGTGAAAACATGATTATCAACAAATGAAATTGGTGTGGCCTTTCATGGAAACACCCCCTCCTGATGATAAAATCAGGCCTCGAAATTAAATTTATTTCCTATTTTGTCCCAGCATTGTCCCCCCCAAAAATTCAATTGTCCTGAAGTGAGGATGAAATGTCCCAACCTGTTTTTCAGGAAGTTAACTTGAAGTCGGCTTTATTTTGCTTATTTTGCTGACTTTCATGCACACTATATATAATTGCGGAGTAAACAGGAAGTTTTGGGGAGCTTTTTCTGGAGCCAAACAAAAGAAGGGCTGACATTCTGATGTCCCAAAAATGTCCCAAAGTGTGCTTTTAGTTGTCCCAGCCTAAATTTTAGTGGTCACAGGCCATTGGGACACTGTTAGTTTCGAGCCCTGAAAATGTGCCATTTCTCAGCAGTTGAAGCAGTCCTGTTCCCTGTCCAGCTCTAACATGTCTTCATTTATCCCCATGTGGTCCATCAGCTGTCCAAGGCTGGGCCTTTCGTCTGCAGGTGCTCTCTCCTGCAGCTGCAGCAGCACCTGTTGGCTCACCTGTTGCCACCTGGCTGTCAGCTGCTGCAGTTTGGACAGGTTCCCCTGAGGAGAGATGAAAATTAGCTTTGTTGACTCTGATAATTCTGTTGAATTATTTTGAGCAATACTAGTTGTTTTGGTATCTCCTTTTCTCTCTAAGTTTAACACAATACATGGTGTGTTTTGCTGAAGGGCGGTTTTCTAGCTATAAAGAAACAGATAGTACATACAGTGCAGTTTGAAGGGCTTGGAAACCAGATTTTTCAAAGTCAATATTCTAGTCACTAATCTACATAGTATGTTGAAACAACACTATCCCAATGACGGTTAGCAAACCATACTGATACATTTTGTATTTAGCATTCTCAGCGAGGACACGTCTTGCCACTTCCACTGAAGCAAATCACCCTTTCTTCCTCCATACAACACCTCTTAGGAGGAAGTTTCACTTTGAAAGCTTGTTTCCTATCTAACAATATCATTATGGAATAAGCTACCACGTGATTGTTTCCCTTATGGGTATAACCTTAAACTTTTCGTCTAAGGTCAACAAACATCTGTCCTCACTGTCTGTACAGTAACCCAAAACATTTGAGTAGTTCTCATGAACCTTGTTTTGTGGTAAACATGAAGTAAACTAGGAAGGTAACATTTGCAAAGAAAATGCATAATGTTTACCTTCGGATATGGTCTGCTCTGTTAATTCTTACTCAAACACATTCACATACATCATTACATGTGTATGGTGACAAGAGTCTAAATCCCTCCTACTCTAGTGAAATTGTAACATTATGTACCCCAACACCAGTTACCATAGTGACAGACGTCAACAAATAAGGCCATTGGCCAGGTCAGAGGTCATGTGCACTGTTTGGAGAAGAAGAGGAAGAAACTGAGCAAAAACAATACTTTTAAAGTACCTTGTGGCATTTTACCAGGCTCAACCGTCGTAACTTTTCCTCCCACTGGTCAATCCCAGCTTGTAACGTCCACTTCTCTGCTAACGGATCACCAACGGGAATGTCTTCTTTAATCAGACTGGTTAAAGTGTCGTCTGTTACTTCTGTTACAGTTCTGTGATGTCCACAAGGTTCGATTGTTGTAACTGGAGAATTCTTGATGGAATAGCTTTCCACTGTTCCTGTATCTCTACTTGTTCTTGCATCTTTAACATGCTTGTTGCTGTCTGGATTTGACTCTGCTTGTAATTCTGCTTTGCCCATATCTGTGTCTGCTGCAACCAGCCTCAGCCTTGAGCTCTTAGCGTCGTCTTTCTGCATATTCTGAAAAGCATGATATTCAGCTTTTAATATTGTTTTGTTGTCTTGTGAATTGAAAATAATGATGTACATGTATTGTTACAATATGACAGTACATTGCATTTATTTGCTTTTAGGCCACAGCAAGAAATTTCTATGGATGACATCCTCTGGAGACCCTACATGTAATGCGAGGATGCAGAAAAAAAAAAAAAAAAAAA